CGTGAGATATTAAATTAATTTTCCCCATGGCAAGCTACTCCACAATGTAATCTTATGCACGGTGCAGACAGACTACAGTTCTCCAGTGTATTTTTTTTTATCCAAAGCTGATATAAAAGAAATCGCGGACAGGGGTTACCAAGCAAGCTGCTTGCAGCGTCTTGTCCCAGCATGACTTCAAACCGTGGGCGATTAGCCTATTAGTCTCCCGTCTGTGATACGGCTCTGCGGTAGACACCATGAACGGACCGCTTGCCGGCTTTAAAGGGAGGCTGTGGTGAGGTTTGTCCTTGAATAATGATGCTAGTTAAGCAAAAATGAGAACAGGAATATTGGGGGAAGGTATTGAGATTTCGTTGTCGACCAGACTTTAAGATTGAAATTGGATATAAATTTGCATTTTTTATTTAAATGTTTATTTTCTTCCACCAATTAATTTTTTTCCTAAATGTTAGTAATTTAATTTGCCCCCATTTATTTAAGGAATATTTTTTAGTCTATCTGAAGTAGCAAGCCATTAGAAACAGCATAGGAACGTGTACACTTGCTTGTACTTGTATGGACGTGGAGTTTACTTGATTAGAAAAAATCGATCCAAAATGTACTTTTTTTCATTCATTCACGTGAAGAAAGAGACAGAAATTTTGACATGGTGTATTTCCTAGCCATGTATAGAAATGCACAGTTTTGTAAACAAATGTTTGTAAACACAATTATTGTGCATAATGTTTGGTGTGTTAAGAACTACATGTACATGGACTGTGATCATGTGAACCTTGGCAATGTTAATTTGTGTGCGGTGAGTGACACGCAGTATTTTATTTATCAATTTCTTTATCAATTTCACTTTTCCCTTGTCAGAAGTTGTCAAATTTTTTAAAATGAAGCTTGGCCGCAACAAAATTTCTCACATAGATTAAGTTTCTTTCTTTTTTTCCCCCCTCAAAAATATACACGTAGTAATTTTCAACAGTGGCCCCTTAATTTACACGTAAGTTGGTAGCAAATTCTTGACGCCCAGTAAATAAATAGCACTCGTTTACAATTTATTCAAGGGTGTCTGGTTAAAGGAAAAAAACCCTGGAAAGTTCATATTGCTGCAGTCATTCCTGATTGATTTCTCGTGTCCACATTCCTGTATTCACCCGTGAGCTTTGAGCAAGACAACATTTCAACACGCTTGTCCGTTGGAGAACTGTCCCATTTGTAGGGACTCGTGAAATGTTGCCTTGTGCGCGTATTCTCTCTGATCTGACCCTCTCGTGAACCGACAACGCGGAATGCACTGCCTGCCTGGAAGTCGTAATGCCCCACGCTTCCTGCGGTTGGCCAATGACCACAGTTTGCGAGGGGAAGGGAAGCAATGGCTTGGCCAAAGAGGAAGGAATTGATCTGGTTTATTAGGGAGGGGAACCGTTAATAGACTCGGCCAGCCTTTCCTGTTTATCTGCTGGTCTTATCATAAAAATGAGGCTCAAGATGGACTGTACATGTGTACACCTGTACATGTATGCATGAACATTGTACCGTGCAAGTGCAAAGTATATGAAGTGCTGATTGGACAGTTGCATTCAGTTAGGTTGGCCAGTTGTCAATTTTTTTGTTTTCAGTTGCTTAATTTTTAATACATGTACATTGTACTTGTAATTCCTTTTTTAATTGAACAGCAATTTCTGTTTTTTTTCTTTGTTTTGTCTACCCATTTTTGAAAATGTTTGAATCAACTACATGTACTGTACATAACCTGTGAGCAATAATATGCAATATGAACACATTGAGGAATTACTTTGCTGCTGCCGTACTGTGAAAGTGCATGCCGTGCGTCCAGGTCTGCAGAGTCGCCAGGTCCCTAAGTTTGCCAATTATTTGTGACAACCAACCAGACTCCACACTAGGTGGCAAAATTAGACTGGCACCCAGCAACCTTCTGCCCCGTAGGCCGAGCTCAAACAGTGTAAATTTGTCGTGCGTACTCAGCGTGCTCCGCATCAAAGACGCAAACTGAACGCGCCTATGTGGTGAATGCGTATTAAAGGACCGTCCCTTAATTTCCTTTGATTTCAACATTAGACCTTTCTTTGTTTTCATCCAGTGGGTTTTAATTATTAATAGATGAATTAAATGAATTCTGGATACATCGATCAATAATTGAGTTCAACTGATATCTTTGGGCCTATCCTAAGGATTAAAGCTCTGTTGGAATCACTTGGCTGGCAATACTACACATGTCTGTCTGTGGGCAACGGCTGAATGCATCCACAGGCTTGTGGCTTACCAATGGGCGTACATGCGTGTATTTTCAGCTGTACGGTAGAGTCCAAGTCCGTGAGTTCTCTATTTCTGTTTTGAGTTTTTAAAGCTTCCCGTTTTGGAAACTGTCCAAAAATGAACATATTTACCGGTTACCCATCCCCGCACTGAATCAATTTCAAAAAAGTCAACAACTACTAAAACCAAAATTTCATTGGAAATGTCAAACAGGCGTTTTCATGTTCTCAGAGCTGAAGTGTTTGAACCTCTCGCCCTGAAATTGCACGCTCATGCCCTGAGCAGATGCCATATCATTCTCTAAATTAAGGCCGGATCATCACATCGTATCATACCGGTACCTCGTCAGAACGATGTTATTATATCGTCGGGAGCGGGTGATCGATGGGTGCCGGTACGATTCAAGAAACTGCAGGATGCACCAGCGTCCGTTAGTGATGTTTGCCTCTGCTCTGCCGGTGACTAATGGGCCCGAGCCAGGCCTCGAAGTTGTCTTCCAGCTGGATATGGGGGGGGAGGGGATAATTTTGCGATGCATGGCTGGAGATCAGTTTCATCATGATGTGCATGTAAATGCACCTGTACTTATTGGTGTGAACATCTGTAGTGAGGCACATTTTCGTGTTTATTTTCTGAGTCAGCAGCGCATGCATTTTCCATCAGCTTAAACCTCCACGGGATTATTTCAACATGCGCCCTCTTTTGTTCCTGCTCGGAGCGGATACAGTTGCAGACATTATATTACTGTACATGTCATCAACTAGTACATGGAAATGGCTCCTTTTTTCATCATTAACCTTTAGCCGTTGCGTTACAGGGTTTCGTCGCTAAAGACAGACTTGCCGTTGTTTGCCAACTGTCTTCTGTTCTAAAAATATCGTGACGTCACCAAAGCAGGTCGGCTCAGTGCATGCAGTTTGCAGTGAATACCATGGATATTAGGGATGGCACATTTACATGTTTAAACAAAAAAAGTTCCAAATGCGTTTACAGATGTTTCCCATATGTTTAAACAGAACCGCCCCTTTTAGAGGTTTGACATTTTAATTGATGCAATCTGGCATTCATGTTTATTGTAAACAATATGCATTACATACTTTTTTCCCTTTTGGCATCCATTTACTGTTTGGAAAAAAAAGTGGATTCTAAAACAATAAACATTGCTTGTTTTAAATGCCACAACACCAATCTACATTTTTACATATGTTGGACCATGTGCATTGTGAAACTACTAAACGAGAACACGGAAGTAGGCGGCTGCCTTTGTAAAGTGTTGGCTAAACGTTCAAACGGTATGGGAAAGTTTTTGTAAACGTTTTTTAAATTAAATGTAAATGTTTCACAACTGTGGTTAACTTGAAACATTGCTTACACCGGTAACTTGAGACATTGCTTATAATACACGGACCGGAGTACTGGTACGTACATGTACATGTAAGGTGGCCCTGAATGTGTACAATGATGCTTGCATCAGCTGTCCTTGAAACTGAACTAGAACGTAACAATTCAAGTTAAAGGGGAATTAAATTGAAGGTAAAGAAACGTCTTGTCATTCCAAAACAGAATTGTGAGCAAAAGCCATTATTAGGGCCTGCGTTGATGTGTTTAACATACTGCTACATGTAGCCCAAATCCGATGAAGTGTCCTTGAAACGGAAACCGGCTTCCGAACAAATCAAGTGGGAGTCTTTCTACGCAAATTTCTTGGCCATTCCATCAAATTTTTGTGTCAATACCATTACCAGGGCAGCATTAAAAAAAAAAAAACTTGCACGGTTTTCTTGAGTTGTGGTGCAAATGTCGGTCCCAAGATATTGCCTCGGAAAAAAAATTGAAAAGAAAAATACACCAGACTGAGTCAGGCTTGGAAAATTAAATAATGGAGTCGTCGGGGGAGATTAAAGCCACGCCCCAGGCCCCTGGTTCAATTGTGACTCACTGGCCAGTCGTTAGAATTATCAAAGGAGAGCAGAGTCATGTTTGCTGTTGTCAGAATGCGAAGTAATTTGTCTCAGAGATATTGCAATTGATTATTTTTCCAAGAAGATATATAGATATTTTTTTATCTGGATGCAATTCACGAAGCCAGAGGTTTGGGAAACTGTTAAGAAATATATATATCGATGATAAAAAAAAAAACAAATGACACCGTTCAAGATTTGTCCAAGACTGTGACAAATTGAGTCCTCAGTTGACAGATCTTGCCTGGCAAAGACTGCTTTTGCTTGCTCTCCTTTGAGGTGAAAGGCTTTGAGAGGAATATCAACGCGTATGGAGCTAGACATTGGTGATGGTAGTCGATGCACTGCGATAAGGCATATTCTCCGAGACAGGGAGTCATACGCGTTAAATGAACTGGAGGGGAAAGGAGGGCAGGTGCTGAAGTGTTTCTTGGAAGTGTCTCTCCGCAGAGGGATTGCGCATTCCTTATCTGTCCCCGGAATTGGATTTATCTTGGGGTAAAAGTTCAAAGATTCAGGAGCATATTTTAGAGAGTTTTTTAGGTTGTTGGCGTACGGAACATGTTCAGTGTACTTGTACATGTTTTTGCTATCGGTGTGTCACAATTTCATGCTTGTTCTTTTCATGTTACATGGAAGTCTGGTTTATTTCCTGTCTGGTATTTTATTTTGCCTTGGATTGGTTCCATTTCCATCGCCAAGAAAGATGATTTTTGGAGGGGCTTCAAAAGCCATGTTATCAATGAACTCTGCGTCCGTTTTTCTCTGCAGAGAAGGGTGCACGTTACAAGTAAGCAGCAGAAGAGCGGGATCTGTGGAGTAGAGCTGCCACGGTCGGGCCGGCTCCCCGTAATCATCTCATTGAGCATCGTCGTCACGTATCCGGGGCCACAAAACGATCGGGTAAGTGGGCCGTGAATTATTCAAACCCCTCGCCCGGGCAGTCCCCATCCCGGTGACGGCCCGCGACAGTAAAGGGAGGAGGAGATATAGGGAGAAGGAAGTGAGAAAAAGTGCAGGAAAGGTGCGAAGTGCCAGATTGGCCGTCATCGCCACGCAGGGACTGTCGAACAATTTTTTTTTTTTCCCCTTTTCCATTATCGACTGGAAGGTGGCAGTGCGTGACAGCTGGGGTGTAGTCCTGGTGACACTTTGCTTGTGCATGTACAGGTACCTGTATGCGGTACGGTAGCTATAGTTTGTAGTCTTCAGCCAAGCAGATCATCAGGTATGACACATCAAGTGCGCTGAACGGCTGTGACAACAGCGAGCTTGTGTACATGTAGGCATGCAGGCACGTGTACTTGTAGTGCTAGGCTATTAATACGAACAACCTTTGAAGATGACATTTAACAGTTCAGAACAGGGCAGTATTTTGGTTTCATGCACATGTGGGGGATTGTATAAATTAGAGGTCCAGCTTGGGGACATTTTGGTGTTCTGTTACGGGTGAAACCATTCAGCTTTTCTGGATGGGACTAACATTAGTACTGTTCACATTCTGTAGATCAAACAGGATTACATTGTTTATGACGCGTACAATATACTTTTCAATCTGCACAATGTTTGATAATGTTGTTACAATTTTACATGAAGAAAAGTTGAATGGCTTTACGTGTAACAAGACACCAAAATGTCCCCATTTTGGACCCCTAAGTTATAGAATCACACATGTACAGTGTACATTGATGAAAACAGATTTACATAGTATATATATATTAAAATACTTGCATTCCGGTTTAAATGAAATTCCTTTTATCTAGTGAAAAATGTTTTGTGCAAACATGTTTATTCAAGCATTGTACACATAATTGCTCTCCAAAATAAAATCATTAGGGGCTTTGAGATACTCAGTGTGGAAAGCATTTTTTAAATATTATTGTTATTAAAATCAAACACTGATTGTAGTCTTCCTACTATTTGTAACAAATGTCTGCTCCTTGTATTTCATTCATTCAGGAGCCAACTTCTGTGTATATTTCGAAAACGGTTGTCACAACTCCAAAAGAACTTCATAGTCTCAAGTTAAGCACTTTTGAAAGAAATACTGGCTTTCTTTGAGCATTCATTATTTTGGGCCCCTTCTTGAAATTTTGAAATTGGTCTTTGTTTCATTTCACTCGATTACGGTTGGATTGCCTGCAGTTGAACTTCTATTTGGCCTCTTAAAATGTCGTAGACCTCATAGCTCGCTGTAAATTGGAAGGAGGACTGGGTCACGGTTAGGGAAACAGATGATTTCAAATTTGAAGGAAATCACCCCCTCCCCTCCCCCAACGATTTGAGCCTTCATGACGTACCCTAAATGGGATCTTCTCATAGGGCCTGTTCCATGCGGATCCAGATCGGGATCGGTGATCCGACGTTGGCTCACTGACACCAGTAAGCCAGCTTTTGGATCACTGATCCGGATCCAGATCTTTGTGAGATGACCAGGCCCGTAGTGTTAGAGAGTTTTCTTCCAAAAAATAGACAAAATAATATCACACAAAGCGTAGTCAACTTCAGGGATTTTTAAAGCTTTGTTGGGAAGACATTTATTACCGTTATTTTATTTACAATTGTGGATACATGTACATGTATTCCTTGTCAAAAAATTAGATACCGGTACACCTCTTTTTTCTTTTCTGGAGTGTACCGTTTTTTTTTTTAATCCCAAGGAAGATTACAACAGACAAATTGCACGTATAATTGGCCCATTAGGCTTAGTTCAAAAGTCCTTCCCTGGATGAACGTCAGGGAAGAAATTTGCCTGGACGGTGCCCACAGGTTTGGAGGGATTATCTCCTTTTCCTTCCCCACCCCCTTCAAAAGGTTAGGGGCTTGGGGGGAGGTTAACGAGGAGAATTGCTGCAGGACTGCCAGAAATGCAGACTGGAATTTTCATTCAACTAGGCCGGCGCTCTGGGCTCCCTGTTTGCCTAGTGATTGCCCCAATTACACGAGAGTTTAAAAAAAAAATTGTTTCTCTGATGAAGCATGGCGTTTTGATGAATTAGCAGGGCTGAGATTTGTCAGTTTTTTTCCTGATTTCAGGTTTTCTACATGTAGCAGGATTTTTCCCTGACGTCAGGATTTTTCAAAGAGTCTTTTTAAAATCTGGAAAAACCCGAGTTTACCATTACAGTATTTCAGCTTGTAATTTGTACGTATAAAACGCAAGAAATGGGTCTTTTACCGGTAGGTAGTGCCTAGAGGCAAACACAGATGTACACCATAGACCTAGCCCCTCAAAATCTCTGGTGATTATCTTGTGGATTTTTTAATTTCCTCCGATCCAGTCTCTGGCTTAACTGTGTCATTTGACATCTATTTTGGGGTTGTCTGACATACGAAGTCTCGGGTACATGTACGCGTACTGCGTTTTGGCTGGTCATGTCTGCTTTTGTAGTGCAAAAGCCGATGAAACCCCCCCCCAAAAAAAACCAGATAAAGGATTTATCGGTACGTAATGAATAAATAACACCTCCCCGGAACTATTGAGTCGGTTTGAGACGCGGGTTTTCACACTACTTTTTTCAAGGTATGGCAAGTTTTCTTCATTAATATATACTTGTATTTATTCAGTATGAAGTGTATTTCAGTATTAAGTTGATGTATGCACAGGTTGTGGTCCAAGTTGGAATTAAAAAAAGATGAAATGAAAGAAACTGAAGTGTTGTTGGTCTTGGGGGAAAGGAACAGAAATGCTTTTCCCATTGTTTAGATCATACATGTACTTAAATGTTTCTACCAAAATATGAATAAAATAAAGTAGTTCTCGGACTGTCTTCAAACACGACGTTTTGTCCTCTTAAAAATGTTAGACTTATTACTAGGCCTTACATTTTGATTCTTTCAGGATCTTTCTCGGAAGCGAAATGTCTGTTACAACATTCACAGTTCAGATTTTCATGGACGCTAATAGTCAGTGTAAAGTACACTGTCATGAAAAAAAAACGGTGCTGAGATCCTCATGAAGTTTTCTAATGTGTATAAGCCACACAAAATACAGCAGCCCAGTTTGCCTCTCTGAACAGCTCCTACAAGATCCGTCATCGCCGGGCAATCTGCCAAATCGTCAGTGTTTGGAATTACATTTTAATTGTTTAACGGTCTGCTGGGCACATGCACACATTACTAGCCTTGGGGTCGTGCAGTGTGCAGGAACTTAAATGTATGAGAGAGCAAGAACTTGTGCATAAATTATTGCATTTGTTGTTTTTGGCTCCAAATTGGACATACATGTACCGGGCAATTCAGATTGGCATCAATTAATCATGTACTGTCTCTGTACCGGTGCAGATCCAGGGGGGGAGGGGATTGTTAGAGGGTCGAGAAAAAAGGAAGAAAACCCGGCTCTGAGACACCAAAAAAAAGGTTAAAAAATGGGGAAAATAATAAAAAACAAAAAGGTGCACCAATACCATTGTAAACAATTTGTGTCATGCAATTAGTGTTTCCACTTGTCCGCAAAAATGAGACATTAAAAAAAAAATCTCCGTCCTGATCCCCCCCCTGAAAAATTCCTGGATCGCCCACGCTACCTGTATATGATTTTGATGTACATGTGCGAAAATGTTCACGTACATCAATATTTTCCACTGAATGTGCACATCATATTTACAGATACATGTATGAATAGATGTGTAAATTACTGTAGATTAAGCATGGATTTAATGTGCATGTATTGTACCATGTGTACATGTACATGTATGTAGTGTATTCTGCAGTGCTCTATAGCCATGTGTGTTAAAATCATCCATTTGTCACCATTTAATGGCATTTTCCCTGGGTCAGCAATCTACAGGCAAGATTACTTTGGACAATTTGGCCACTACACAAGGAATATTTGTTGCCCCACGATTTTCCCTTCTTTTTTTTTTCTCCTGACAAAATACTAAGAAATGTCGAAGCAATTTTGTGCTGTGCTAGAGAATTGTTTTTTTCTCATCAAAATCATCCCAAGTTTGGGTATTAAAGTTCCTGAAATGGCATCACATGATCTTCAGTGTCAAGATTTAATTTGAGAAGTCTGTGTTTTGTACAAGAGCTGTGAGTTGTCTAGGCATACATGGATATCCAGTTTCTCGTTAAAACTTTTCAAATATTTCAATGAGAGATTTTTTTCCCCCCTGAACGCATAGGCTCCAATTTGTCTGAACACGGCTTGTAATAATTCAGAAACACGCTTGAGTGTACACTCACCTGCATGTGCCTCCATTGGCTAGTCACGGATGAGCGATTTTCCGAGCTGGTGTAACAAGCTTTCCTCATTGATAGCCAAATGTCAGGTTAATTTATGGGTGAAGTGCATGTTTTTAGAAGCCCACACTTGCAAAAACAAATTACTTCTTCCGTTTCATGTGCATGAATTTGCCATTTAATTAACATTTGGTTATAAAATGTGGCCGATACTCCCGTACTGAGTGTATGCACGGCGAATGCACACCAATGCATGGTTGGCTGTTGTGGCAATGTACTTATACACAAGGTTGCATGTACAGTACATGTGTACCAGTACAGTTAATGTTTATAAAAAGTGCTGTTTATGTAACATCCATCCATATTAAATGTTCATTCACAGGTTTTGAATATGCAACAATTTTTTGAAGTTACATGTACCTTCAGGTTTTATTTTTAATTTCAAGAACCTTGAGGTTGATTAGGTTTGAAGGATTTTAAGGAAGGAACGTTGATTAGGTTTGAAGGATTTTAAGGAAGGAACGGAACTACATGTAAGTTAGACCACATCCATGGAAATCAGTTTTGTAAATGTAGGAGTTCCCTAATACGGTCATGCATGTTCCCAAGAAACGAGAAAAGTATGTGCACATGTATGTGAGGCATTCCAACTATGAGTATTGTTCCCTCTTCCATGTTGTGCATGTGCACCTTTAAAAGCATCCTGTTTTGGTCCTTGCTGTCAGCAGTTTTCCCAAATGGCTGGCGGCCGAGATAAAGTTGACACTGGTGAGGGAAACTTGCCTCCCTGTCCCGAATGCTTAAAAGCAGTCAGTGACATTTTCAGCAAATTGGGGCGATGGGGGAGGGGGGGCGGTTGCCAGTCCGGCAGATTGCCCAAAAAAAAAAGAAGAGAAAAACATGCTGCGTTCCATTCCGGCATTGGTACGGGCACACACATGCATAGTGGGCGTGACCAATGTCGGTTGCCATCAAAAATTGGCAATTTGATACACATCGCGGAGTCAGGGCAAGGACAGGTGTGGGAGGGGGACCCGGGGTTGCTGTTGCCACGGCAATCCCGGAGCCATCCTGGAATCCTCATTAAGTGATATTTCATGGGCTCGCCCACCTCTTGAGAGGCCAAAGTGTGAGAGAGATACCTACAGACTTGGATATTAGCCAAGAACACATCATGTACCTCAGTGGTAAATCGCTTTAACACCAGTGCATGGAATCGAGCCGAAAAAGTGGTCAGAAAAAACATAATGGAACGATGAATTTTGATCTACAGTTGTTGGCCTTTGAACAGACAAGTGTCAAAGACAGGTATACAAACTCACACAGTTTATTAAAGCCCCCCAAAAAGTAGAAACAACACCATTGTATTTGTATGTACTTTGATTTCGGGGTATCTACCTTTACATTCCTTCAGACATTTTGTCTGGCGCCATCTACATTCGGTCAGACCGGTCAGACAAACATCTGAGTGGTTATATGGTAAACTGGACGATGTCTGACCATACTTTTCTTGTAATTTCATGCTCTGAACACTATGCATTGCTACATGTATACTTTAGACGGGTTCTGTCTTTCACTTCAGTTTTCCATGAGTGTGTCAGTGTGCATCAAGCATTAGGCCTAGCCCCCAATTTTACAGCTTTTTCCCACATACATGTAGCAAAGGCATTGTAAGAAACACATGTACATACTCTACCAATTCATATTGATCTCAAAGCCATGGGCGCAGAAACTTAAGGAACTATGAGCGAAGCTAGCCCTTGTTTTGTAACTTTTGATAAATTGTAAGGATGATCCAAAGAACAAACATTGCTCAATTTTCCGTCTTTGGGTTGAAACAACGAAGAACAACTGTCCTTGAAGTTTTCATAATACTCTAAGATGTTTTCCCGTTGGTCCCAAACACAGTTCACAATTTTAAAAAAAAATGAAATGTTCATGATTAAGATTGTACTCTCAAAGACAGATTTCACCATTGCCTACCAACCTTAAACTGACCGTAACGTATGATAATTCACTTGACCTCAGGACCCCAGTGCCAACTTTAATGGATTCCTGTGACAGCAAATGTCTTGGTTAATGACTTGGGGCCTTCTTGTCTTCCAGGCCGGCCAGCCAAATTTCAATATCTGTTTCTCAGATTGACTTACACGTATTTTTCACTTAGCAAATTTCTTAGTAGCTCTTTTTTTCTCGCGCTTGAGGGTTACAGACAAAAGCTGCTACAGACAACGGCGGTAAATAACCCCACTTCCAAATAATAATCAGGATAATTATTCACAAATTTCTTAGAGTTCTAGATACACTTTGATTTCTTTTACTTTTTTTTGACTTTCTAAATATCTGTCTAGAGATTATTATCACCTTTAAAAACAGTCGTGAAGCCCAGCCATCTTCATTTTGAAATTAATGCCTACATTGTACACACCGTTGCAGATACAGAGCCAATAAAGGAAGGGTTCCATTTGGTCTGGTGTCCTCAGAACAAGCTGGCAGGCCTGTTGGTAGCTCCCATCCTTCTAATTTTTTTTTCAAACCTACTAGTCCATGCACCACAAAAAGCTGTGAGAGCAGAGAATTTGACGGTACGCCAATTGTGATTGGGTCCACACAGGCATCTTTGGTCCTACCTTGCCCGGAGCCTTTAGCTTGGTGCCCGGAAGAAGGATCCTTTAATGCAAGTGTTACTGTTAAACCCAAAACGGAGCACTCCACCTCCTGTGACTATTGACACTGTCTCATTAGGGACCCCTCTTGACCTCAAGAGTTGACCCCACGGCCCTCCAAAGGTCACACCAATTTGGAAGGGCCCATAAAGAAGGAATGTCTGAAAAGAATCAATTTTTGGTCCACCCAGGGCTCCTTGAATTGTGTAATCAATCATAAGACCGGTAGCCTGAATTTCTAGTGCAAATTGTTTGCAGTGTCCCATTTACAGTCCCGGTAAACTGTGCGGGAAAGTATTGCATACGAACTCCACCTGTGTAGTTTTGTTGGTAATTGATTTTCTTTACTCAAAGAATTACAAAATTACAGTACATGAAGTATTCATTAGGGCACTGCTTCATTTAGGAATTGCTGCATTTAATGACAGATTAACGGACGCGAAGGACATGCTTGATAAGGAAATGAAAATAATGAAGTTTAAACTGGCTTTAATGTTTCATCTATGGCCACGAAAAATGACACTGAACACAGAAGGTACTAACCTTTGAACCCTGCAAAGCCACCCTTGGAACTCATCGGGATATTCCCTGCCAGCCCCCCATTTTTTTTTTTTACAGCAGCGTAGTTTGAGGACATGCATGCACTCTTTGAATCTACATGAAATATTTTATTGGGATTGCTTAAGAGACAATGTGAAATGTGCGTGTAAATGCCCGTGTGATTTGTGCATGTATCTCTCCAAGTTGAGAGGCTGGCTTAAAGGAGCAGTTTCCATTTCTCCGGAGAGAAACTCAGCAGCGAGCAACAGTTTTTCACAATTTGAGAACAATCCTGACATCATCTTACAATTTTTTCTTACCATCTGAAGTGCGGATAGATTCATAACTCGCTGGGTTACTATAATTACTCCTAACCATTGTAACACGTTCTTTCAATATTTCAAAATATATCCCCCCCCCCGAAAAAGAAATCCCAACAACTGAATGTTTTCCCCTTTAAATTTAGATATGGACCATAAATTTTGGATTCACAAAGTGCTTTCCCAGTTCTAGGTAGCCAGTGGAAGCTGTTACTGCATGAACTCTAACCTTTGCGGTTATAAACCATGTTTACTTCCCCCAGAATGTTCCCTGATGGGACATATATCAGGCGTCTAATTGACGGTAAATTGGTGGTGAGCCAGGAAATAACATTTCTTTCCCTGTTTTTGTTTTGGAGAGGGGATGAGTCGCGTTCACAGCTTCCACATTTCATTGGGGAAACAAGTAATTTCTTTCTACTCATACTGTGGTACAGGTGCCGATTAGTTATCTACCATTCATTTCCATAACCCTATTCCCCTAGAGACCATTGAAATCATGCATGCCTGCCTGTTGGATTCAGAATGGTTGGGGTCAAGGCCTGAGAAACTCAATTTTGTTTCAATTTGCTCCCAATTTTTGTGCTAGCTCTGGTGTCCTTTTCATCATAGACTTTTTGAGATGATTAAGACAATGGGGAAAATGCAAACCGTACGTACGTAGATGGATTTGTGGAAAGGGCTGCTTCAGACCACAAGTTTCCACGCATTTAGGGGTTAATTTAGCTGAAAATTAGGAGAATATTTTGTGGGAGGTATAGAGCAAGGTATTACATCTATCTCTCACCGGCTATAGAGGGTTTGAGTGGCTGCCATCTTGTAGACCAGTGCTTTTGTTCCACCGGGTGTTCACACAAGGTTTCCTTGTGAAACAAAAAGAACTGCCCTGCAAGATGGCCACCACGCAAAGCCTCTGTACCCTGGTTACAACACTTTGCCAGGCTGAACACCCATAGGCGTACAAACGATCATTTTTGAGGAGACCGACGACGCAGCCTGGCTTCAGTTTATTCGGGCAGTAATGCTGCTATAATGGACCCCAGATGCGATGGGGAGCTGCCATTACTCCTCGATGATACTTGAATTTTGAAACCTTGAGGGGTTCTCTTGCCGTAGGGGACTGGCTCGAGAGGGACAAGTGGGAGGGGGGGGATGTCAAACTGAGGAGAACAAAATGCAAGCTGGATCATCTTAGGTCGAGTGTGAATGCGGGTGCGTAGTAGCCACAGGATCTGTGTAGGAAGGTGTCATACAGAGGTGTGTGATTGGAAGATCGAAAAGGAGAGAGCCGGGCAAAATTGATTTATTGTAAGGCATGGGCTCGTTGAAGGGGGGGGGTTTGAAAAAAGATGGAGGCAATTAACCTGGATCGGTTTGGTTGAATTTGAGTATGTGCCTTTGGTGATATCTGTGTACAGGAAAATGCCATTCTTGTGGAAAGTGGAAGAGTGATGCTTGGGGAGGGGGTTTACCGTAATTTTTCTTTATAAAGTGCAGTGCGTTAATCGAGACTTTGCTGCAATTTATTGATTTGATGATAAGGGAAAATTTCTTTGGACTCATGGCGCAGTGTTCCATTGTAGGATTTTCGAATTTCTATGGTTACAGCAACATAGTCAACATAGAATGCAACAGGAGTTTGGTTGCGACCAAACTTCTTTTGGTATTTGAAATCTTTGACAACTGTCTTTGTAATGCTCTGCAGGTGACATAATTTGACATCATAATAATAATAACACAGTTTTTATATAGCGCATCTCACCAAGGTCTCGATGCGCTTCACAAGATACAACAATTAAGAACAAGAACTAAGAACAATTAATGCAACGAGTAAGTTTTGAGAACTGCTTTAAATTCATTTTCGCTATTGATCATGTAACAGATTTCAAGTGCAGCGAACTTGTGTTTTTTCTTTCAGAGCTGAAGTGACCAAGTGCAACATCACACCAGAGCACATCAGGGGAAGCCACTGAGCGTTCCCGCAAGGAACGTTTCCTTAGCAACCACAACAGGGTCCGACAAACGTCAACCATGGCGACGACACCGTGTGGTACATGTTCCAAGATAATGCTCTTCATCGTCAACTTTGCCTTTTGGGTGAGCATTGGCGTCAAGGAAGCGCTGTTGTGAACTTGACACAAAGTTTTTTGTTCAAGTGTGGAAAAACGAGGTGCCGGAGGTGACACGTGTCACCTCAGTGAGCCTTTGGAGAAGCATAAATTAACCAGTGGTATACAGAAATTGATGGCTTTTCTGATCTGATCTTTTCTTTTCCGATCTTTTCAGTAACAAAACATACACAAGGATGTATGGAAGGGTGGCTAACAGGGCTATGCCCTCCCAAAAGGGACCAAAATGGTTTTGTAAATAATAAGAGAATGTAACATTTGTTATCTATTGCACTTTCCATCCTTCAAAAGATGTGTAAAAAAACTTAACGAGTTCCCCCCCCCCCAAAAAAAAACATGTTGGTTTTGGATCTGCCCTCTAGCATATATATTCCTAGGGTTTGTTTTGTAAACTTGATTACGTGTACATGTACATTTATGACCCACCATACCAAAACCAGGCGGTAACTTCGTAACCCTAAAATAGTGGAACTTGCACTCTTCAGATTTTCATGCGAGTTTTACAGCTATCACTACCCGTAAGAAGCTCACTGCAGATAGAATTTTGATTTAACATGGATCACTTTAAAGTGTAAAAACAAAGGTGAAGGTGAGGAATTGCCGGTCCAATATCACAAATACCGACTTTGGCCTGGTTGGGGGACATGTGTTCAAAATTGTTGGAGCTTTACTTGTATAAAAATGTTTGTGTCCAGAGGCTGTGGCTGCATTACACTAGTACATGTACGGTATGTCTGTCGTCAACATACATGCTGATGCATTTGCCATGGACAAAGACGTAGCCCTAGCCTTAAACACATGATGTTCATTGTTTGAATTTGGAACTCGGAACAGACATCAACCCTGAACCACACATGTAAATATATAGGCAACATCATGATGATGTCATCTGGTGCCTTTGTATCGTCAACAAAACATGGCAGAATTCTTTCCTTTCGCATTGAGCAAGCGGTGAGCTAAATGTTGTCAAGTTCAAATTTTTGGAATTTGGGAGACCTCGGCTTGAAAGGCAACAAACACACTTGTTCTAGCTCACGTCTCTTCTTCTGGCGGAGCATAAAATTTCTGCCGCTGCTTCTTCAAAGTGATGCCAGTGTGGTTCTGATTTCCTTTCCTTTCTCCTCCCCCCCTCCCATTTTAATCTCTGTCTCATAGCTGAGCGGCATCGCAGTGCTGGGCATGGGCATCTGGGTCAGCATCGACCGCAACACGATGGAGTTCCTGAAAGTCTTTGACTACCCGATCTTTCGCAACCTGGGCTTTGCCATGATCGCCGTCGGGGGCTTTGTGACGATGCTGGGGTTCATCGGCTGCTTCGGGGCTTGCCACGAATCCAAATGCCTGCTCTGGACGGTAAGAGGATGGCCCGCAGGAATGAGCAAGTTCGGTATTCCAACAGCACGTGGCCAAAAATGAAGCGCCTCCGTGGACACTCGGGAACAGCAATATGCACATGTATGGCCAGACAGCATGGCCGAACGCCAACTCACAAGTATACGTTGTTCAGGAATGGCCTTACTGTTTTGAAACACCGAATCGGCTCACTGCAATGGTCTAGTGACTCCAACCGAATGGCTGGTTCAGATTTTGAGTCGGGCGTTGGGGCAAGTAGGTTCAATCTGAAAACAATTGTTCAAGCTTATTCCATCAAAAGAATCTTAATCCCTCAACAAAGAAAACTAAAGTTATAATGTGGTGGCACTTTCAATAGACCTAAAACGTCCGTTGATGTCCTTTTCAGAACCATCCGTGCTCAGAAAGAGATATCCTTGCAAGGTGCTACCGCGAACCGCGGTGACAAAACGTACTGACGGCAGACTATGTGCACTTTCCTATTACAGTGAGGTAGTACGCCATCCATTATGCTCCCATTGGAAAACAGGTGTAAACCAAGCATGACGTGATTAAATTTTAGGTGGGCCACTTTCCAGGCTCCAACATCATCTGTAGCAGGAGCTTCACACCAGCTCCAAAATTGGTATGAGCATCCAACCCAGCAGAAATGTCTCCTTCTTTTCTGCCGCACGTTACAGAAATTCCGTGTTTCTGTACTCGCTGTTCACAACCCAAAAGAAGATCAGAAATGAGACTTTATATAAAACCCAAAGTCTACCCACGGCGAGGGGTTATCCCCTACAAAATCACGAAGCTGAATGAAGCGGAGATTTCCTAAACCCCCTTGCATGGATTTAGTTTCCTATGGCCTCTGATGGATTCCGCTCTTTGTCATCGCTCTTTTATTGGCTCAAAAGCAAAACGAAACAAGATTAAGTTCCATTCCCCACACCCCCCCCGCACATGATTGCTTTTACAGGTTTCCTGTAAGCTCAGTTGAGTGGTATTTGAGGATAGTCTGGGAATCAGACAGGGGTTTGAAGTAGAACATAGGTAACTTGTAAAAAAACCTTAACCACAATGTACGGGGAAAAAATGCATTCAAACTGTCCATTTTGTATCCCCAAAACGGATGTGCATAGACAAGAAATCCGGTTGGTATTCCATGTAGCCGGTTTCTTATTCAAAAATTTCACCGCAATTGTTAATAAAAATCTTTGTCTTATTTTGTCTGTTCCTCTTTCTAACTAAGTAGTTTTGTGCAGCTAGGCACAAGTATGAAAGTGTCCCAGTAATTTGGAACCAGTTTAATCCGGTAGTTGTGTACCCTATTTTTTTTGAGTCATTCTTCTTGAAGTGTTCCCAGAAATATCCCCAAACTTCCCGCTGTTAGTCAGTTTTCAAATTCTATTGTAATTTTCTTGTTGCAGTCACAGCATGTTCTCACAGTACTGCATCTACCAACACAAAAACTCCACGCTGGGTTTTTTTATTATCCTATTGTGATATCAAGCCTGCCAAAGCTGTATTCGGATACCCAAGTATTTTCCCGGGGATCACTTTACGTCTCTCGGGGTGGCCTCTCATTCTTCCCGGTTCATTTGCTGACCCAGAACCCCTGCAACAAAACAGGAGGACAATAAACAATTGAGTCTCACAAGCCCGGTCTGGGACCATTACCAGGGGCTTGCACAAGGAGTCTCACAAGCCCCCCGTCTGGGACCATCACCAGGGGCTTGCACAAGGAGTCTCACAAGCCCCGGTCTGGGACCATTACCAGGGGCTTGCACAAGGAGTCTCACAAGCCCCGGTCTGGGACCATTACCAGGGGCTTGCACAAGGAGTCTCACAAGCCCCGGTCTGGGACCATTACCAGGGGCTTGCACAAGGAGTCTCACAAGCCCCGGTCTGGGACCATCACCAGGGGCTTGCACAACGAGTCTCACAAGCAGGGGAAATAGAGCCTGCTTGAAAGTAAAGTTGGGTCTGGTCCACGTTCACATTACGAAGGTCCCCTGTAGATGCCTTCTGCTTAGCGTGTATTATGCACCAATGTTGATGTTCACTCTCATATTAAACTTAAGTGTTGTAAATAACTTTTAAGTTATCCAGTGCGCAGTTTGAGATTACGTGAAAATTGGCATTACTGTCATAAAAAACTAACAGGGTTCGCTCTCGTTGTTGCAGCAAAACAAATTTGAGAGAAACTAATGCTTTCCATAGATATTCAAAGATTGATCTATTAAAGGGGTCGCCTGTGAAAATATCATCTGGGCTGACTGGTTTCTTGTAGATGCTTTCTAGGTGTGTGCTATGAACTAGTGTTAATGTTTGAGACATTGCATACCGGCACTTCACACTCAGCGATGAATTGGCTCATTGCATGGGGTTTTTTTTTTGACAAGCAAAGAGCCATATTTTTTCTGTTACATGTAGTTCGGATTCTGGTATTTCTTGTTTATGACACTCTGTTTTTGTTTCTCTCTGCAGTATTTTGTCTGCCTGCTTCTCCTGTTCCTCAGTGAAATAGTTTGTGTGGCCCTGGCATTCTCATACACTGAGCAGGTAAATATATCTTATATTGACTGGCAGTGGGCAATAGCGTGCAAATGTGCCCCAGTTGCTGGATACTTACTGGCTCTAAAAAGCATGGGTAAGGTGTAGCATACAGTCTACATGTACATGTCTTCAAATGATTAATCATTATGTCACTCATTGCACTGATAATCTACATTTGTGCCCCTCTAAATTTCGCCTGAAGTTTGGTCATTTTCTTGTCATAAACATTGTTTACTGTGGTCTTGCATTGTTTCAGTTGACAGTAGGCCAGTGTTTTTTTCACAGATATTTTCAGTGAGCCAGGTTCCGGCTTTACAATTTAATGATATCACAGAAATTGTACCTCAGTTGTCAGGAAATGCGTGGAAATTGTTCCAAAAAAACCACTTTCTGAGAAAAACCAAAAAGAAATGACAGGGTTTTTTTTGAATGACAGCTGTTCCATGACCGCTGGTTAGTTTTCAAGGTAATCTGTGCATGAAATACATCCTGGGTACCGTGCCAAATCGACCGACGGTTGACAAGCGATAATCACAGCACTTAATTGCTCAACCAGCAAACAGAGCTGTGCAGCATTCATTTGACTGAAACTTGAATTTTTTATTTTGAATTGTTTTATTCATTTTGTGCAAATTCTGAAATTTCCCGCCGTTTTTGTCGCGCAGGTCAAAGACTATGTCAAGGTGAAGTTGGGCGAGCCAGTCATGCATGGCTACAGCAAGAAAAAGACGAGCATTGTCAAGGCTGTCGACAGTATGCAAGAAACGGTACGTCACTCCTGCCTCAGCGTATTCACAGTTAGGTCCCGAAGGGAAAATTGGGGTTGGCTAGGGAAGGCTGAATTGAACTTTTTGTGAAAGGATAACACCTTTTTGTGAAGAACATTTAGAAATATGTGGGGTTTGTTTTTTTTTCGAAGTGTTGCGCATTTTGATAAGGCGTTTAGGATGTTTTCCCAGCAACGTTTCTGTCTTTGGGCATTGTGGGAAGGGGGGCAGAATGCTACTTGAAATGAGTCAATTTGAGTAAGCAGAAGCCAAGGAATGTTGGCCGTACTTCGAACACATTAATACATACAGCTGTATTTAGACTCATCGGAGAGGACACTATTACCAAAGATTACATAGCGCCGCATAGCGGTGCAAGATGGATTTATTCGGCCATAAAGGTGTTATCACCATGGGCGCCATTCGAGTGTGAACATTCATGTGTGTGCGTGCCTGTCGCAGCGCCTGTGCATTAACATGCACTGTGCAGCCGTAGTCCAACCAGAATGGCGCCCATGTGATAACAACGTTTTACGCGTATTCACGGTGAAGTTCCCATCTTGCGCGGCTGCGCGGTGCTATACGATCTTTGCTATTACTGGGGTGGTACCACGCTCAAGTGCGCCTTCATAAACTTCAGGTGCACGTCCACGGAGGTAGAATGATTTTCAAAGTGGAAAGGGGGGGCTTTGAGAGAGACCGTCAGGCATCAGCCATTGTTAGATTAATTATTTAGCCCTGCCCCGTTACATGACCTGCCAAGAGTGGAGGACTAGTCCAGTCCCCTTGGTTCCTCCACCGCTGGGGCGCATGTATTAATAGGCAAATCACGACACCCTATGGGACAGCACAGACATCCAGGACTCTCACAAAATGGCGAATAGTAACCGATGAAAACAGTTACCATGGCGACATACGCGTGCACCAGCCAGTCACAGGGCCGCCATTGTGCGAAACTCCCAGATGTCCGTGCCACCCCATTGGTCGAAGGGGTATGTGCAGCACGCAGTGGTCCTATTGTCACTAGAGTAGTGGCTGGTAACCCAGGTCACCGGAGTAATCCATTGGCACAGTAATTGGTGGGGTGTCTCACTGGTTCCCCGAGATCTGCGTGCCCTAACGTACCATGGTTGTCCAAGCCCATAATTGTCGTTTCTCGTTTTTGGTTCCTCCAGCTGATGTGCTGCGGCAACCACAACCACACAGACTGGCAGGGGAGCCAGTGGTACAAGGAGGTGGTCAGTGACAAGAGACAAAACGAGACTGTCCCCTCCTCCTGCTGCATCACTACCGAAATCTACGAAAGATACAAGCAGTGCCAGAATAAGGACATGGACCCCAACAAGTACAGGCACTCACAGGTACGCCGACCATTTGGTTTCAACACCAGGTATCAATTGGGGGGGGCTAGTTGCCAGACCCTATCGATTTCATGCCAAATCCCATTCGTATACCCATTCGAATGAAATCTTTTGCAAAGGCAGGTCTTGTATGACATTTTGTCTGCAAGGCAGTATTGGTAAAAAAAAGCCAGTCTAAGTAATCAGAAAAAACGGAGGGCACACTGAATATTAGACTGTTAACATTTCAAATGTTGGAAATGTTGTCAAATAAACCAAGATACTAAGGTTACACATTGAAAATAAACTTAAGTTGCCATGATTGATTGGTTTCAGTTTGGTTTTTCTTCTTCAGGTCGGTCCTCTAAGCTTTTGCAAATGATTGTGCTTTATTCGCTTACCTTTTTTTTGTCCTCCAGGGTTGTTTTCAAGCACTCTACACCAAATTCCTGATGTATATATGGTTCATAGGGGGTGTTGGAATTGGTATAGCCGTTCTTCAGGTAAGGCTGCTTGTGAAGTCTGGCGATGGTACATGTAATTTGTGTTTGTGCACCAACCTTTGTGAGGACCGTCCACAAAGGGCGTCCACATACATGTAGTATGGGTCATGTATCAAAACTGAGTGTGGACTAAGTCGGGTCCATAGGTCCAAATAAGGTTCCTCCCTCTGAAGAACATTTGTAGGCTGCATCCAAAGTTGTTGTCTAGAGCTAGGCCTAAGTCTTCGCTCCATTGGAAATGTGCGGAGATGCAGAGATAATAGACCTAGCCGTAGCTCTGGAAACCCGTTTCGGACACGGCCGAAGAGAAATGTTGGAATCAGAGGTATCTGCTACTAAATGAAGAAGTGTTAAAGAAATCGTGAACAAACTTGACTTTAAGAGTATTCGCAGTGGAAGAAAAATGAGCATTTTCTTTGAGTTTTCTTTAAAATGACTTGGAAACAGAAATTTCCACAGTAGGTATGTCATCTAAGTATGGTTGCATTTTTTTAATCGTGTCAACAGTGACCTTAATGCAGTCCTTTCTAAATGGTATATAAAGTTTGGTAAATACTTTAAATCTGGTGTAAGGATTTCAATAACAGCCTGATACTGAGGGAAGTGTTACGGGTTCCCAGACATGTCGGAAACAGGTACCCAGTTTCACAGGTATCCGGGAAAGCACAGCCCTAATCTTTGTGAGGAGAAATGAATGATTCTTAATGAAAACATTTACACGGGTAGTGTCAGGAAATTGAGACTGCGGCATTCACAGTCAGTACTTTGTTTCTTCCTCAGGTTCTAATAATGGTGATCACCATTTTCTTGCTACGAAACCTCACCGATGACTACGATTGATGGTCCATGCACAGGCTGAAATAAACAGGTGAGGCACAGGGTAGGGTGAAATGTGAACCTTGTTTAAAAAAAACAGCATGAGCATAATTTGTATATCCACTCTGAATTTAGTGCATTGCAGTCGAAAGTTAACACTGAATGAGAATGGGAAACATTGTAAAAAAGAATTCGCATATACATTCACATTTTTTTATCACAAGGTGTGAAAATGTCGCCCTTGTTTCAAAAGGTACGAAAACGCTTTTCCACTTGTGTGAAAAGGTGTAAAAATGTTTTCTCCTCTTTAGCAAAACGTGAAAATGTTTCA